TTCCTTCCTTCCTTCCTTCCTTCCAACTGCCCTCCAATCTCCTGAGAAAACTCTCCTAAGCAACTTTTCTCATGAACTCTGTGAGGGCCTCAAGCATTCCAGAAAGGTCGTCTACGCTAGCTCCTTCTCGTCACCTGCCCTCCTGCCCCAAATCTGCAACCATGGTTTATTTTTCTGCAAAAGCTGGTGAATCCAGAGTCTTGTCAAATACCACAACTCGTGTATTCCGATGACACAATCTTTGAGCCAAGAGAGGAAAAAGTGCAAACCTGTACACGTAAGGGCCACGTTGACTCACGATCGGCTTGGCTCCTGAAAGAATGTCCTCGGGATTCATCACATCAAAGACATAGAAGGAAAAGAAGAACGGCAAGGGGAGATCTTTCCAAACGTTGAACATGGATTTGTTGGGATCAATTCCCATATTCTGTAATCGTAAGAGGAGAACACAGTTCAGAGCTAACAGCCCATCACCGCCATCAGTTGTGACTTAAAAGAAAACAAAAGGGTAAACCCAAGTTTACACAAGAAAATAATTCAATTTTTTAATTGGAAAAACAGCTTGTTTATCTGTAGTGTTTTTCTCTTTTCTTCATCATCTATATCCTTACTGGTTAATACTTTGGCTATTTACATTCAGATCTTTTTGAGCCAACCCTTGAAAAACAATTAGCACCCAAAGATATTTGAAGTCACTGGGTATCACCCATGACCTCCATTTCCCAAGAAATTTTTGATTACTTTTTTTTTTGTTTTGGCCCATGACTGCTAAATTATTATGATTCACACACCCTGGAAATATTAGTTAAAGCTTCAGGGATCCCATTTTGAACTGAACCTGGAGGGTCACAAAACACCTTTAAATGCCCTGAGGTATGTTTTGAGTATGACTGATTGAAACAGCACAATTTACTGGGTTCACACCCATGTTAAACAGCCAAACGTGACATGTCACCTAAAATGATTCAGTTAACTCATGGTGCAATGCCAAAACCTAGTAAAGCAGACTGAAGCTTCCTGGTGCCATGGTAGAATGTGCAAATAATTCTTGGAAGATGCCTATGCTGGTCTTTAACCTTAATAAATATTTGATTTGATGGGAGATGCATAGCTGCTGTCTTGTCCTTCACGTTCTTCCAACTGTGTTTTGCAGAATCCGACAGTTCGGCAAGAACTTGATGGGTTCCCTGTGATTTTTTTCCAAGGGGAAGAACAAGATTTTTTTTCCAAGGGGGGGAAGCAAGACTTTTTTCCTGGGGGGGGAAACACGATTTTTTTCCAAGGGGGGAAACAAGATTTTTTTCCAAGGGAGGGGGAGAGAAAGTTCACTTGCACCCAGCCTATTTCCTATCCCTTCTTGATCAGGGACTTCAGTAATTTGTTTTTAACAGGATCCACCATCTGAAAAAACTCGAAACTCCTGTTCTGGATGACATTGAACAGATGCCAACCAAGCCATGAGCAGAAACTCATCTTGCACCCAACCCAGCGTGCCGTTCCCAATGTCTGCAATTTTCACAGAAATAGAAGAGTTCTATTTGTGTGGATAAACTCCCTAGTACATTGATCAGACTTATTTACACTTCGCGTTTACCTTCGCAGAAGAGAGCTGCTGTTTTCCTGAAATGAGCCATTGGCTCATAGCATGCGCAGAACTGCCCACGAAGCAGAGTTTGTTCCAAAACATGATGCTAAAATAGGCTGGGCTGGTTTGTGGCTTTCGGCATCCTACAGACCCAGGCTCTGGAAGTTAATTAAGCAACCTCTAATTCCAGGAGAGGAAGGGCTGGACTTTGCAAACATTGGCAGGATACTGTTCTTTATCGATCGAGGGTCAGGGTGACATGAACGGTGTCAAAGTTCGAACAACAGGATGATGTGTATATAAGCAAACAGTAAAACAATTGGATTTTGGAAGGCTGTGGTGGGCTGTCCCTCTGGCAAAAGGAGATCAGGTCATGATCAAAAGTTCTGGTCATAACTCTGATTTCCCCGGCAAATATTTGCAAACAACAAGTAGACAATTGGCTAAATAACCAGCCCATCCTTAACACATATCCTTTTGACTGATCATCCTTAATTTTGAGTTGTTTTTGTCAGTCTGACTTTAATATGAATTCTTAAAGTGCCGCTCTGTCAAACAAGGATCTCGAGAGCTTTGTTCCAGTCTCAGGTCCCTGCTCAGAATAAGAGAGGGCTGTTCTTCCTTCCCCCGTTTTGTAAAATCTTTTAAAAAATATTTTGTAAGCCTTTTGTGGATTCCTTCCCCCCCCCCGCCCCCTTTCTGCCTTCCTAGTTCTTTTTTTCCTCCCCTCTTCTTTCCTCCATCTTCATTCTTTAAGGATCTTGGTGAATAAATACACAACCCTATACATGAATTAACTAGGTAGTTTCCATTTCTGACCAACCCATCTTGGGAGCAAAGGAGGATGACCTCTGTGCCCCACATATAAGGGCACTGCTGACTTCACAGCTGCTGCTGAACCCCAACCCCACACACGGATGACCTGCTGGACTCCAACCCCCATCAGCCCCAGCCAGCACAAGCAACTGTCAGATGATGGGGTTGTGGGTTGGCTTGAAGGAGAGCGAACCGTGAGAATGGGGAAGGAAGAAGCGAGCTGATAAGGGACACCCCTAAGGGCACAGAAACTCAACAGGCTTTTCTAATCAGCATTCATGGAGTCTCTCCCCTGGCTCTTCCTTCCCCTGGCCTACCTCGAAGGGCTGAGGGCCACATCTGAGCGTGGGGATGTATTCCCCACCCTTGTTGAGACTGCTGGAGCCAAGCCAAAAGGTGAGACGTGATGTGTTATTCAATGCAGGTAATCAGCCCTTCGCATCGAACAGGTTGCAACCTGAACTCGTGAGTTTGGCGGAGATCTTAGTGAGTTATCTTGCTCCAAAACACCTCGCAGTCCTTGCCCGTTGTCAGAAAAGTGAACGGAGGCAGGCTGGTAGCCAAAAAAAGTAGAATTTCATGGTTCTACATGGTTCAATGGTTCTTTTTCATCAGTATTGTTTATGAAACTTTAGACCAGTGTTTCTCAACCTTGGCAGCTTGAAGATGGGCGGACTTCAACTCCTAGAATTCCCCAGCCAGCATAGCTGGCTGGGGGATTTTTGGGATTGAAGTCCGCCCATCTTCAAGCTGCCAAGGTTGAGAAACACTGGTCTAAAGTTTCATAAACAATACTGATGAAAAAGAACCATTGAACCATGTAGAACCATGAAATTCTACTTTTTTTGGCTACCAGCCTGCCTCCGTTCACTTTT